GGTATATATCAGAGTTTAGAGAAGATATATATAGAGAGGAATAATACCAAGCAACACAAACAACTTCAAATTGATTATTTAACACTCTGTTCAGGCTCCAGCCTCTCACCCTGAGCAGCCTTTCTATATGGACACCCTTCTGCTTGGCTCTGATAGCCTGTGCTGGGCAGGACCGTCTTGTGCAAACTTTCTCCTCAGCTTACTGAGACTTTATCGCCTTGTTCTGGGCTGGTACTAGTACTGGTTGCCATCAAGTCAACCCCAACTCATGGCAACTCTGTGTGTGACAGAGTAGAAGTGTACTTCATAGGGTTTTCTATGACTAATTTTTCAGAAGTAGATCACCAGGCCTTTCTTCCAAGGGCCTCTGGGCTGTCTTGAGCCTCCAACCTTTTGGATAGCAGCTGAGCATGTTAACTGTTTGTACCACCCAGTGTCACAAATAAGGTAAACCCCCAAACTCACTGCCATTGAGTGGATTTCGACTCATAGCAACTCTGTAGGACAGAGTAGAACTGCCCCATAGGGTTTCCAAGGCTGTAAATCTTTATGGAAGCAGATTGCCACATCTTTCTCCCACAGAGTGGCTAATGGGTTCAAACCACTGATCTTTCAGTTAGCAGCCATTGCTTTAACTACTGCGCCACCAGGGCTTCTTACAAGTAGGGTACTTCTGATTAAATAGTTATTCTCAAGCTAATTTGACAGTTGAATGCCAAACATTTAATCACCAACCTCACTTCCTGCGAAATTGAATTGTGTGTTGCCTGATGAAAGTTAAAGGTCGCTCTCCCACCTGCTTAGAGCTAATAAGAGTAGAGGTCAACTTAATCCAGTTATTACATTAAAAAGAAAAAACCTACTGATTTGTCTCTAATCCGTACTTAGAGGATTGCAGGTCACAAGAACTCTGAGGACAATAACTAATTTCCTCCCTTCTACTTGATTTATTAGGTAAGACATTTCATAAATTTGAATTCTGTGTGTGCACATGCACGCATGTGTGTGTCTTGTGGAGCCCTAATATTCTAGTGTTTTAGATAGCTGAGTTTTTATTGAGGATTCTTGATTGCTCAGTGGTTAAGCACTCAGCTGCTAACTAAAAGGTCGGTGGTTCGAACCCACCATCCACTCTGCAGGAGAAAGATGTGGTAGTCTGCTTTTGTAAAGATTACAGCCTTGGAAGCCCTCTGGGGAGAGTTCTACTCTGTTGTTGCTTGATATTATCCCTTATTTAATCTCCAAGTTTCCTTCTTATTTGGTATACCCTTGTGGTACTCTGTTTTACAGAAGAGAAATATTACTATTTATTGTTAATTGTAGAATGGCTGCTAAATTGAAAACATTTTTGAGAAGGTCTTACGTTTCACTTTTACTTCTTCTAAATTATGAACTGGTTCTCATTTCTGAGAACTTGAACCCACCCTTAGGTCTGTCTTCTGAACCATCAAGGACCCTTTAGAAATTTGGAGTTTGGGGTTTTGTTTTATTTTTTGGTCTAGTTTCACTGTAAAAATTTTTCATCTCTTTTTCCTCTGTGTACTTTCCCCAAGATGTCATATAACCTTTGTGACTTCTGTTATCACCTATACTGGGAAGACCCCAGTCCACTTATAAAACCTTTGTCTGTTGCTTTCCTTGCCGGTCCTTCCCACAAGCCCTCTGCCTCCCTCACAGCCTGTCATCTCACTTCCTTTTTGATATCAGTAGGTCCCTCCTGGAGGAATTCGTATTTCCTCCGCATTCCTGGCAATGAATAGTACAATCATCCAGGCATTCATTAGCATTTTTTCTGATCCCCCTAACTGCAGCTTGCTCACGGTGACACAGCAGCAATTACACAGCCACAGTTAATGACAAACATTTCCAGTAGGATGGAAGGGAGAATTTAGAGAATTTTTGGGATCTTCTTTCCATGCATTTCTATAGGGAGTTATAGGAACTAAGAATAAAGAGATAAATGACTGAGGTGGAAAAGAAATAAAATAAACTTCTAGGAGTTCGTATTTATTGCCTCTTCTAAAATGTTTCCCAATCTTCCATGGGCAACAGTGTTGCCCTCTCATGTCCTCTGATCTTGTTTAAACTGTATAACTGAGTATGCCTAGTAATGCCTTATATTTAGAACGCTCCTACTACATGGTGGAGCCCTGGTGGCATAGTGGCTAAGAGCTCAGGCTGTTAACCCAAAGGTCAGCAGTTCAAATCTACCAGCTGCTCCTTGGAAACCCTATAGGGCAGTTCTACTCTGTCCTATAGGGTGGCTATGTGTTGGAATTGACTTGAGGACACACAATAATAATAATACATGGTTCCTGCCTCACTTTCCATCACCTTTTCCTTTTCAAGGGCCTCAGGTTACTAGACACAGATAATTCACCCAGACTTATTCTGTGCCTGCCTGAAGTAAAAGGAGCCTCAGGGCACAATCATGTTATCTAATGTATATTGCTGCTAAAGTACTATGAACTTTCCAATAGATAGATAAAATAGACATCCAGAAGATAAAATTGTGTCTACATAATCCACATAAAAATGCACAAGCTCTTTTTTTTCACCTATTGATAGCACTGGAGAAAGGGAATTAACATCATATCTCATGCCAATTTACTTAAACAGTGAGGCTGGTTCTTCTAAGTCCAGCTCCTCCTCAATCAATCAACCTAACAATGAGAACAGGTGAGACACACATTTCAACCAGACTCTTCAGTCACCGGTTGCCTTGCACCACTTTACAGAGACGCTGTGTGTGCTGTGTACATCGTGAGGGAGTGACACCATTCCTCCTTACCACTCCAGGTTCCGTACTTGACTGCACAACCAAGTTGCAATATTTTCAGAGTGGCATTGAGAGCCTGGTGTTGCATGGATAGCGGAGGGGATTTGCCATGTATGAGAAGAGTCAGCGAGAGACATCTTTCCAGAAGAGAATGATGAGCACTGACATCCTCGTAATAATGTAAACACTGATTATCAATTTTTAACAAGCACCATTAGCATAGATTGGGAGGAAGTGAAGAGGAAGTGGATATGGATGTGTGAAGAGAAAATACCTTTATTGACTGTGTATTGTTAATTAAATATTTTGTGAACCAAAAAAAGTTACATTCCTCAAGTGTCAGACGATAAGCAGATTTATGAGAAAAAGCTTTAGCATGATTAAAAAAACCAGCAATCATCATTTTGCCTTTCTCTGAGTTTGAATAAATTTTTCTTTCACGTATATAAGATAGTTAAATATGCTAAAGGAGGCAATGAATAATGTTTAAGAAGACCAAGAGGTAACAGTACAGGCATATGAGTTAAGAATGTGACATAATAAAAACAGCTCAAAGATTTGAGAATGGTTGTTTCCAGGGAGCAGCAATGCAAGGTGGGAAGGTGTGGGGCACAGTGATTTTCTGAAATGCCATCTGGTTGTATAATTCTGAGAAGAGCTTCTAGAAATGTGTTTCAGCACCGTCATCAACAAAAACAGTTTCAGCGCATACACCTACAAAATGCTTTATCTATTATGGGTAGAGTGGGAGTGTTGAGGCCTCTGAGCCGAAGACCACCCAGCACAGCCTCTAGTCCAGACTATAGCAAAGGAGACCACCTACCATGGCGAATGGCAGGGCATGGAGCAGGAGGATGTTGGTTTGGCCTGACTGTATGAATTTGACTTGTGTTAAGAGACTGGGGAGGGAGGTTTCAAGGAACTGGGGATTTATTCTGGGTTGGGTCCCAAACTGGAGATGGCCAAATGGAGCGACGCTAAAGCTGTAATTGGCACAGAAGCAGCAGTCAGCACGTTGGCTGGGCGAGGGCTGTGTGGTAACTGTGGTTTGCATAGAGACTCTTTTTGTCTGTGCCTAGGTAGGATAACAGAGTGGTCTTGTATTTTCCTTACCCCAGACCCTCAATCAACAATCTCCAACGAGTTGGGTGGTAGGTTTGTGCCTTGCTATGGGGGTGCCTTTGCTTCTAGGCCCTTTTGGTGGACAGAATTAGAAATATATTTTTGAAAATTCATGAGTTCATACTGATAACTTTAATTTTAGACCAGTAACACAGAGTTCTTCCTATTTTCCCCATTCCATATTTGTATATCTCTTCCTCATAGTAACAACACTGGTTCCCAACATCAATCTATTTACTCATTTCCTCTTTACTACAGCATGCACACAATAGTTTCAGAATCACTACATGAGTGCTCCTACCAACAAGTTAGTGTCACTTTCCTACTAAGTAAAGTTCAAGATTTTTTGTAATTATTTCTATGTTAAGAATATAGCGCTAGTACTAAGAGTATACAGTCAGAGAACTATGCTCAAAAGTGGCTTGAATTAATTCTGTTTTCTGTGTGGTTATATATTTGATGTATGCTTAGGTTCATTATTTTTCACTTGTATTCAATTTTAGTTTACTTTTTCCATCCTTTCATTTAAATTTTTTATATGCAAAGCATATGTGTAGTTTAAAAGTCAAAATCATAGAAAGAGGTACACTCAGAGAAGTCTCATTCCTGTCTTTGCTCCCTCACCCCCTTTCCACCAACCTCCACACACATGTGAATGTTTTCATTAGTTTATGGTTTATTCTTTCTATGTGTCTTTTTGCAAAACAAGCAAATACACATTTTTTTTTAATTTTCCCTTTTCTTGTTACAGAAATGGTAGCATGCTATATATACTCTTTTGTACTTTGTGTTTTCATTTAAAATATACCCTGCAAGTCACTCTATCTTAGTTAATAGGAACCTTCCTCATTTTTCTTTTTTAGAACTCCATTACGTGGGTGTGCCATAGTAGTTCGGTTTCTCATAGATGAGCATACGCTGTTTTCAGTATTTTTCTATTATAAATAATGCCACAACTATGAAAAACCTATTCTTATGTTGCTTTGTACTTACGGAGGTATATCTTCAAAGCAAATTCCTAGAATTGCTGGGTCAAAGGGCGACACATACGTAGTTTTGCTAGTTCCTTGCAAATTTTTTTTGCTGAGGCATTTCCCTGCCCCACTAGCAGTATAGGAGAGGCTAGTTCTCTCACAGTCTGCTGTAGGAGATGCTACTATGCTCCAGCCCACATTCTCTCACTTTACCTGAGTTCACCTGGAGTTGCAGTAGGCAATTCTTAGGTCAGGACACTTCCCACCTCAAGCACTTGTGTCTCTCTTCTCTTCCAGAGGGGTAAGTAGAAGTCCACCAGGCCCAGATGGGAGGGCCATTTCTCAGAGGTTGAAAGAAAATGGTTTGTGTGACTTGAGTGTATAATTTGGAGATTGTTATGGATTGAATTGTGTCCCTTAAAGAGAGTTGTTAAAGTCCTAGCCCCTGCCCAGGTGATTGTGACCTTGTTTGTGGGAATAGCATTTTTCTTTGCAGATGTTATCAGTTAGATTATCAAAGTCATACCAGAGTAGGGTGGGTCCTTGCAAGGCAGCAGAAGCAGTTTCTCCTCTGACCATCTGCATGACCCTTACACTGAATCTGTAGAGAAAGAATGTGCCCTAGGGGAAGCCAGTTTGCTCCCCTAGTGCCTTAGGGGTAAGGTATGTGATTAACTACCTAACTGTACGCTGGCAAGATCTAATCTTACATCCAAGAAGGGTAGGGAATGTTCTTCCTTTGATACCATCAGGGCTGGGGGTAATAACCGCAAGACCATCACGCACCCTGAGCCCAGATTGTGTCAAGAGGCGCCTTCCTCTTTCTCCCTTTCCCCCTTTTCCCATGCTTTCCGGCACATATACCACTCCGGGTTCATACTACATAACCCTTGGGTCCCTTTGTCCCTTTGTTCCTTCGGCTATAACGCATTAAGGGGCCAGCATAGAAGAAGTTTCCTTGTCATCTCACCTTGGAATGGGGACCTATTGGGGGTACCAGTCCAAGATAAATCTTACCCAGTTTCTCTTCATCCTTATTACTGTGTAGGTAATAAAAGCTTGTGGTCTTGCTGCTGGATAATAGCAATTATTTCCCGAGAGCTATAGCCTTGCACGAACTTACTTTGATTTTTCATCCTCGGCTCACCGCAGTCCTAATCCTAATCACTTCTGAGTGGAATTTTATAAAACAGAAGGACAGACATGGAAACAGAATCACACACACCAGGGGAAGACAGCATGTGAGTATCTATCTTCAAGCCAAGGGATGCCAAGAGACGCCCGAGGCCAGCAGATGTTTAGAGAGTCAAAAGTAAGAGGGCATGGACACTTGAATTCCGGACTTCAGTCCCCTGAACTGTGAGATAATGCATTTCTGTTCTTTAAAGCCATCCACTTTGTAGTCTTTTGTTACAGCAGCCCTGGGGGTGCTAAGACATGGACCCATGAGGATCCCCTCTGGACAAATTGTGAAGGGCATCGTATGCCTTTTGTAAAACACAAAATCAAACGAAAGCATCTGCAGCCGTGTCAGAGACGCAGGATTGTGTCTGCACTCTTCCACACCATGTGTCTGTGTGAAAGTGGAAATGGAATGCTGTTTTAAAGAGGCTGTCGTGAGCAAAGTGGCTGGAGGGAAGTGTTCATGCAGTGAGGGAAATGAGAAATGACATAGGACAGGTAAAGAAGGGGGAGGACTCTGTAAGACTTTGAAAGTGAAGCTGTGGTGCTTGAATCTATTGCATAGCATTTTTCCAAAGTGTGTTCAGTGGTATATGCTAAAAGGTGATAGATAAAAATACAATTTCACAGTCAATTAGTTCGAGAAATAGAGGGTTAAACTAAGTTCAATTGGTTTCTTTGCTGCTGGGTTTGCAGAGCCTTTAATATGCTGCTTTGAGTGATTTCTCTCCAAAAAAGGAACAAAATGAGCAGTTCCTCAAACTTGTTTGTTCACAAAATCCACATTTTCTGGAATGGCTTATGGCGATCAGAGGATGCACTTTGGGAAACATTGCCAGAGGAAGTCACTTGCCAACAGACATTTCTGATCTGAGGAGTATCACAGAAGAAAGGCAGTATGGTATTGTGGCAATTAACTTTGGAACTTTAGGTAAGTGTCTTAACTTCCAGGAGGCTCATGTCACTATCTGCTGAGTGGGGAAAAAAATCTAACTCCTACAGGCGGGTGATTTAGTGTTGAGGTTAAGAGCGTGGGCTCTAGAGTTGGGCACTTGGGTTCAAATTCTAGCTTTGCTACCTAAAAGGTGTGGGGGACTTTGGGCAAATTACTTATCCCAACTCTGCCTCAGTTGCATCAAAATAGTGGGAGAATAACAGCAATTCCTAATCTATAAGATGTTTAAGCAAATGAAGGAAAACATGTAACACATTAGACAAGTGTTGGGCACGAGTAACCATTCAGTAGTCATTCCCTCTGATGTTTATAGTTGGAAGAGTAAGTGGTATAATTAGTATGGCCCTTCCTCTCAGTATTGTTATCAGAAAGCAGTAATTCGGAGAGTTGACCTGAGGACAGTTTGTAGGGCGAGTTAGGCATGTGAGTTTGTTGTCCTACATTGGAGGCTTTGAGCCCCAGGAGGATGAGCATGGAGGTGGGGAGGAAGAAGTTGCCTCTATGAGTATTTTCCTGGAGATTCTGCAGTGTTTGATGGCTGAATATGAGGGATCCAAAAGGACCACGCAAGGATGGTCTCAAGGGTGAGCCCAGGCACGAGGAGGTGGGCTTCGCAGCCTCCATGAGTGAAGGGTGTCCTGGATATTAATGTGTAAGCCTGAGGGTCTTAGCATCCTGGTTAAAAAAGTAATAGATAATTTCTGGTTGTAATAAATGCAGGAAAACAAAGACTTTTCGTCTGTTTATGCAGAAGCCTGAAACCTGATCAATGTTTGTAAAGGAACGATCTGATTGAATAGTTGTACTACAAGGCAAATTTTGCCTGTGATGCAACTTAGAACTTTGAGGACATCTCAGCTTTTTATTTAGGGCACTGAAGTGGTGAAATTGCTCCTCTGAGAGAAAATTAAGAGTGAGAAAGGCTTAATGATGCTCAGAATGAAGAAGAGAAACAGTACAAGAAGGAGGAATTGAACAGGTCCCTAGAGAAGTCAAAGAAGTCAATATGCATAAATTAAAGAATGAGAGAAGCAGAAAATGTGGTTGAAATAGCAGAGAAGATTTAAGTACGGGACACTTAGCAAAGTGACATAAAACAAGCCAAATGTATCAAATTATGTATACAATTATGTATTTTACTTTGAGATAGAAATTTAGCCCAAATTTGTCATCATCTTCTCATTTTTTTGTCTTGTGCGCTCGGATACTAACCTCTGTGAACCCATGGTAGCCCAGAATCCCATTATCAGAAAGTAACAAATCTAAAAACATTTGAACAGGAAATATTTTAATGAATCAGTATCTTTAGTTAATAACAAATTAAATACACATGTATTGCTTAACTTTAGTCTAAATGTTTTCTTCTTTCTACCTCTCTTTTTTATGATTTCTTTCCACAAATTGTCTTGTCCCTCAGCCAACAGAATGTCAAAACACAGTGCTGACTACCATGGATCAATGAATTTTCCCAGATGACAGTACCTTTTTGTGCACCAAGCTCTATGGCTCTGAATAAGCCAGAGTGAATGCTTTGGGGAAGAAGGAAGGAAATCAATTAATTTGTATTGGCTGGAGTGGTAGCCAGAATAAAGCCCCCCAAAATGTCCATGTCCTAATCCCTGGGACCCGTGATTATTTTAGTTTACATGGCAAAAGGGATTTTGCAGATGTGATTAAGTTAAAGACCTTGAGATGTGAGATGATCCTGGATTACCTGGGCGGGTCCAAAGTAACCATAAACCTGTTGCTGTTGAGTGGATTCCAACTCATAGTGACCCTATTGGACAGTGTAGAACTGCCCCATAGAATATATTTACAGAAGCAGACTGCCACATCTTCCTCCCACAGAGCGGCTGGTAGGTTCCAACTGCTGACCTTTCAGTTAGCATCCGAATGCTTAACTACTGCACTACCAGGGCTCCTTAAAGTGATCATAGAGGTCTTTATAAGAGGGAGGCAGGAGCCCAAAGAAAGAGAGAGATGTGACAATGGAAACAGAAATCAGAAAGAGAGAGAGACTTGCAGATGCTGCGCTGCTGGCTTTAAAGCTGGAGGAAGGTGCACAAGCCAGGGAGGTCTAGGAGGCTCCTAGAAGCTGGAAAAGGTATGGAAGCGGATTCTCCCCTGGAGCCTCCAGAAGGAAACGCAGTCCTGCTGATAGTTGATTTTAGCCCAGTGAGACCCGTGTCAGATTTTAACCTCCAGAACTGTGAGATAATACGTTTGTGTTGCTTTAAAACAATGTTTGTGGTAATTTGTTACAGCAGCAATAGGAAACTCATACAGCCAGTGATACCTAAATTATGCCCCAATGTAGCCTCCCCTCCTATGGTGTCCCTGAAGAGAATAGCTCTGCTGTGCCAAGCAAGGCATGTTTATATTAGCTGATTGTTTGACCCACAAGCCCACGCAGAACCCTAGCCAGCTGGGTGGAACCCTAAGGAAGAAACTCTTTTACTGAAGGTAGGCTAGCTTTCCAGAGAAGGTGGAAACCTTCCTTGACCTCTTCCCTTAAGCCCAAACCCTAGTGATCAATGTAAGGAAAAGGCTAGACACACACAAGAACAATCAGCAGAAGAAAGTACAAGAGACAGGTACAGGGCCCAAACCGGGAAGGTAGCTAGTCCAGACTGTCAAATTTTGCAAGCCTCAATCTGACAGCTATGAGAGAGAGAAAAAAATGGGAAAGAGGAGACAGAAACAGAAAGATCAGTACAGACAGACTTAGAGACAAGAGGTAAGAGCAGCAGCAGAACACCCCGATTGCCAACCACACACAGATTCATGAGAAATAATCAGTTGTTGTTGTTTATGCCTCTAAATTTTGGGGATGGCTTGATGTGTGATTAGCAGCAGATAAAGCAGGTAGACATGCCCAGTTCTGGCCAATATGGCATGGGGGAGTGGTGTTTGCTGTAGAAAGTTTTCCTTGCTGGTAAAAACACAAAAAGAAGCAGTTCATGTTTTTCTGCCTCTAAATCTTTTCCTCAGAGCCATGGCCACCATCTTAGACAGAGGATGAGAGGGCCATGTGTGTCTAGTTCCTGGAATGGAGGAAGAAGCAGTGGGCTCTGGACCTCACAGAGTGAGATGAGAGCAGCCCACTGACACAGGACCCCTCTCAGCGAGGCCCCTCACTAACCGGCCCTTGCTAGCAGTAGTGAACAAAGTGTTTGGGGTCTGAGGGGCCAGGCAGGGGTCAGGCAGGAAAATGGAATGAAATCCAGACATTTGAGCAGGAAGGAATTGAGGACAGGGGATTAGGCAGCTGCAGAACCGAAACCCAGAGGCCTAGACCTGGAGGAGAGTGGCCTCCTACCACACTCAGGTTTACTTTGAGATTTCAAGAAGCTGGGAGGTTCTAGGCACTTAGGAACTCCAGCCCATCAGTAGCCACCTCCAGCACAAGTGCAGAGACTTTCCAGAAAAATCCAGGAGGATTTGTTTCAAACCTCCTATCTCTCAAAACACCTATGTCTGCCTACCACAGCTAAGGAACGATACGCATAAATTTGCAGAGTCTGACATCAGTTGGACAGAAATTAAATTTGGCTTCTCTTCTTATTGCCAAACCTCATGCAAGTTCCTTTCATTGGTGGGATCTGACTTGAAATCCTGCTGTGGGGATTCTGATGAATGTAACACCCAGGGGGCCTGCTCAAAAATCTAGGAGAGAACAGAGCAGGGGGAATGTGCTGGTCTGACAGGCAGACACTTCTGGCAGCCACAGCATCCTGTCTCCTCAGGGGACTGAGCCAGAGCCCAAAGGAGGAGGCCTTACACTCTCCCTTTGAGGCGAGACTAGAATTTTTGAGCACCATTTGGGCTTTTTAGCACCTTCTTTTTCCTCCTTTCACGCTAAGAACAAACCTGCAAAGTAAGAGCGAAGATCCAGAGTTAGGATCAACAACTGTGTATTGAGTGCCTGCTATGTGCTCAGCCCTGCTTTTGGCTTTGGGGATACAGCTCGACTATCTTGGTTTCCCTGTGACTATTCCAATTTTAGCACCAAAAGTCCCATGACCCAGTAAACCTCTGGTCTCAGGGAAACCAGGAGGTTGGTCACCATCGACACAGCTGTGGACAAGACAGTCTTTGCACTAAGGAACGCATAGTCAAGTCGGAGAACCCAGAGACAGACAATCTGTTGCCATCGAGTCGATTCCAAATCATAGCAACCTTATAGAACAGAGTAGAACTGTCCTATAGGGTTTCCAAGGCTGTAATCTCTATGGGAGCAGGTCACCAGGTCTTTCTCCTGAAGTGTGGCTGGTGGGTTCGAACCACCCACCTTAGCAGCTAAGTTCTTGACAAATGTGCCTCCAGGGCCCCTTTGAGACCGACAATAAACCAAAAACCAATCCCATTGCCATCACATTGATTCTAACTCATAGGGACCCTATAGGGCAGAGTAGAACTGGCTCATAGGGTTTCCAAGGCTGTAAATCTTTACAGAAGCAGACTGCCACACCTTTCTCTCATGGAGCGGCTAGTGGGTTCGAACTGCCAACCTTTTGGTCAACATCTGAGCACTTTAACCACTGCACCACTGGTGCTCTTAAGAGATATAGAAGCATGATTTTTCTGGTAGACCCAGCCTGCCCTTCCCAGCACTGGGTGGTATATAGCACCCCCAGTCTTTTGGGCAGGGTAGGCAACTTCCACGTGCCAGAAAGAGGCCCTACTTCTGTGACCCTACATTGTTAGAAGCTTTCCACTGATACGGGTAATCCCGCTGAGGGATGGTGAAATAAATCAGACAGTGCAAGTCTCTTTGGATCAGAATGAATAATTGACACTAGTCGCTGATGTGGTCACAGGCCTTTATTACTTACATGGTAGTCAAGATGATGACAAACACAGCAGGGTTTATCCCAAGCCAATCCCCCCAAAAAGGCTTCCGTCCAACGGTGAGACATTTAGTCACCTCTACGCATGCCCCTCGATGCATTGTGGGTGAGGAAACAAAGGGACAA